TTTCCTTAGACTAGCCTTTACAGTAGGGCTGTCAAAGATCCAGCTACCTCTCTACTCAGGTCTTCCTAAATGGACTTCTTGTTACCTAATTTTAATAGATTTACATGACTACAAGGACTTATCTAGTGTTTGCATTGCCTGATTTGTCAGTTTGCATTCCTTCATGTAACTCCAACATTGCACAGATGCCCCATAACTTGCCAGTCATGCTGGTGCGACCACCATTACAAGTATCCTAACCTAATCGTTAGTAACAGTTGCCATAATATAAATATTATATAGGTGATTATTCAAATTTTCACTGTCGATGTGATTTGAACACCCAACCTATCACTTAAAGGATTGACAACCTGACCACTTCACTAGGTTGCCACACCTCTTGTATATTAGGTATTGTATAATAGTTTAACATAATTATATTACTGAATTAGTAATAATATAGTAAAAAAAATAAATGTTATCATTATATTATATAAATATATATTTCTTTATAAAATATATATTATATTTACATAGATATTTTATAATTTGCCAGTTATGCTAATATGATTATTATTACAAATATCTTAACCTAATCATTGAAAACAGTTGCTATAATACAAATATTATATAAACAATTATTCAAATTTTTATTATTAATGAGATTTGAACACCCAATTTTTACCACTTGAAGAGTTAATAACTTATCTACTTTACTAAATTACCACACCTCCAAACAACAAACTTTAAAATTAAATATTGGTATTATATTGTATATAACCAAATGCCTATTTAGAAGCTTAAGTTTTTTAATATTTAATATGTATTGATTTTATAGGTTTATAAAGTATAAGTATATTTTAAATACCGATTTTCTTCAATTTGATTGGCTCCGACCTAAATTTTGTCCGATTTATGCTAAGATAAATTTGTTGATTTAAGAATTCCTTCCCTACATTATTTGTCACGAGGGTAGTCCACGCAGGTTTGAACTACGAATCAGATTTCAATAATAGGTGTAAACGTAACACGATCACGAAGATTCAGAACAACGTTCGTTCTGCCAAAAGTCGCACATAACTCAAACATCAGCATAAGAAATCACCTTTTGTGCAAGTTTTCGTTGGACAATTTATTACAATGTGAATTAGTTTTCTAACTCTCTAACCTGATCCTAACCCTAGCCTTAACGAATTTTAAGGATTTCGTCTGCGCCACAAACCTGGTACACATTTTCCGAGTGCTGCATGGCGACGTACTGACGTCAAATTTTATGGAATGGCCTCTGGGATTCATATGTACATTGCATCATATATAAAAATATACTAGAATACTAACAATAGTTCGGTGAAATTTTTAGGGTGGTCCTTAAATTTTGAATTCAGCTGTAATGCTTGAATATTGGACACGAAAACAAAGTAGAATTATGTGACTGTGTGGATTCGTCTTTTATCATATTATATTTATGTCGTCCCAAGGAGAAATGTAGTTCGGGGACTTTATTTAAGCATTTACCCTCTTTATGATGATCTATATAAAATTGCTGATTTATTAAAAACCCATACCATTTTTCTATTATAAATCTTAAGGATTTTCAGTTCGTTATGTTCAGAATTAGTTATAGGGGTTCATTATAGTGAAAGTTAACTGTAATAATATTTTTTTTCAGAGAATAATTTCATAGTATTTTTTTTTTTTGTAATAAACAAGCGCGATATTTTGCTTCCACCAATTACTTGGTACCACGCCAGGGGTTTAAGACAACGTAATACAGATGTTGTCACAAATTCCTCTATATAATTATCGTTATATATATTTATAAATAAATTTTTGTAGAATTCTCGGTCCTTGGCGACTCATTACAAGATTAATAATTATCCAGTAATTAGTATCCATTAAACAATGGATACTTTGAAAGATGTTCCCGAGTTTTTCGAAACACAGCTTGATGAGTCTATAGTTGCCAGAACAGAAAACTTAGGTAAATTTAATGGTTTAAATCTTGGGTGGCTGAGTCTATGGATTTTTAATTTGAATTTCTTTTTAACATTTTCAGCGTCATTTCGTGAGCTTGGTCCTCCTGACCTTTGCCATATCACAAAGTCTAATGCCAAGCCCGGTGTAAAAGAGGTGAGAAATATATACTTTTACCCGCCGCGTAGATTTGCATCAAAAAAATCACACGTGACAATCTACATTTCCTACTTGCATTTCAACTATAACCTTCCAGGAGCGCGTATTTGTAATTCAAATATGCGGTTAATTCACTAATTTGTGGCTAATTCACTACCTTAGGTCGGCTCTTATCATTATGTTTCTGGTGTCGATGCTTCTTCTTCAGCTACCTTAGCAGCATACCTCAATTCATTGACCTATGCATTGGTAAATTTAAATTATAAATTTAAATATAAGCGTATTATGACTGTTATTTTTATGATTTACATTATTGATTTTTAAGGAAGAAACCCATGCATGGTTTTCTAAATCCTCCGCTTGGAGAATTCGTTCTGGGGTATATTGGTATGTATTCCACTTACACAAATTCAACTTATTTGTTATTCATGTTGATCCATTTATACCATTGTTTGCTAAGTTTAATTATTCCAGTTGCTTTAATGCCTTTTCACGAGTGGATGTGCGTGTTGAAGTTAAGATTCCTGGTGGTGTTGAAAGTTATATTGTAGATGCGCGTGGTGAAAAGTAATTCGTAGTATACACATATCTGAACGTTAGTCAAAATTTTCAATTATGTGCTTTTAGTAAATTAAATCTATATTTTAGACATGAAGCTTCACCAGAGATGTGGCAAGAAACCTATATTTCTGCACTTCTACGCTCTATACTTTATTCAGACGATGCCAATTACCGGCTTGCTGGATTCCGCAAATTAGATCCTATCCCAAATATAGAGGCAGAAGCACATTTCTTGGAGGCTGCTGAATCTCTTTTTTTTAAAGGTTCTTATTACAACTTTTATTTTAATACTCATTTCAATAAACAACGTGAACTTATATATACATAATTAATATTAGGTTGGCAACTTGGATCAGATCCAGAAATTCAGGTTGCAACTGTTGTCAGTAATCATTTAACTACTGGTATTATGAAATATTTCAGCGAAAATTTTAGATATGAACGTGCAGTGAACCTTTTCGAAAAACATATCCTTTAGAGATTTAATGTGCTATGATGATTCCATTGTAGTGAATTAATTTTTTACATTTTGATTATAATATCTGTTAACTGCTGATGTTTCTTAACATAAATACACTGTACTTAAAAGATCCTGAGGTTGCTTCGTTACTTGCACAATCGTATATAGGGATGGGTATGTTTTAGTTTCTATCCCATCATAATTTTTTGGTAACTATCTAACTAACACATGCCTTTTTATCAGACGAAGAAATAAAGGCGATCAATATTTTGTACGAGGCCTTAAAACAGCAGCAAATGAGTTATGCGCTTCTACACGTTCAAACGGATTTTTTGCTGTCCAAGGTAATTCTTTTTGGTGATTATTTCATGTCTATCATGAAGAAAAGTTTTGTGATCTTGTCAATTTTTTGGAAAATAGGGAAAAAAGACGTATGCACTCAAACTCGCTAAACAAGCAGTAAATTGCGCTCCCTCTGAGTTTGTTACCTGGGCCAAACTTACTGAGGTGTACATTGAGCTTGAAGATTACGAATCGGTAAGACAATTTCTATGTATTTTGAAAACTAAAAATTTGTTATATTTGATATTTATCTCATTACACGATTTCCTTTTTAATTTTATTCATGGCCTAACTCATGATGTCGCTTCTAAAGGCATTGTTGACCCTGAATTCTTGTCCAATGTTTACATATAACGACAGAGATATGCATAGGATGCCAACCCCAGCAAAAACTCATCTTCCTATTAAACAAGAGATTTCAAACGTTGGACTCTTAGATGAAGACAATGGACGAGACACTGAGGTAAAACCCTCATTGCGGATGATCTGCTTTTCGCTTAATCTAGTGCTGCTTAACTTAGTTATATTGTACTAAAGGCTGATGTAGGTCTTTTACGCCTTCCGGCACCATCCCTTCGAGGTACCTTTGCTAAAGCGTATTCATTATTAACACGTCTGGTTGCCAAAATTGGGTGGGATGAATTATTAAAATGTCGATCCTCCGTTTTCGTAATGGAGGAGGAATATCGTTTGCAAAAAGCAGCCGAAGAAGAGCGGAGAAATCAAAAGTTGGTTGTTAACAATAAGCCACACGAAAAAGAGGATAATAAAGAGCCTGATGTTATTAAAGTTAAAACAAATGGTGTAAACGATTCATCTCAATCTATTCCGACAATTACAATATCAGGTGACTCCAATAATGATAAGGAGCATAATGTTTCACCAGATTCACAAGAAAATAAAACCACTTTAGAAACAGTTAATGAAAATCCTGAGCAGAGTTCGGAGGCTGAGCAGAATTTGGAGGAGACTGATAATAATGACGATAATGAAGAGCAAGAACAAAAAAAAAATATAAATCATAATGCTCCTGCTGATGAACAATCAGTTGATTCTTTAGAAGAAGTTAATTTGGACGACGAAAAATCTGGTGTAGGTGAGACTTCTGCACCAGTAATAGAATTCAAAGGCCCCGAATTGGAAAAGCCAACACAAGCTGCTAATGATGATAAAAATGAAAGTCAAAGCTTAAATAATGATGATCAAAATAAGGTATAATTTTGATTTCTCAATTTGTGTTAAGGAATGTACAGTTATAATTAGATATTCTTGCAATTGAATTCAGGACGCTGCGTTAAGAAAAGACTACGCGTTCTCATTCAATAACAAAAGGCTCTGCGAAAGGTTTGCGTTATTGAATAATCTTATGATTAAATGCATATAATTAAACAACGAAAATAACATTTCCATTATTCAACATATAAGATGGCTTGATAATCTTTTCATGGTCTTGTACGAGGTAGTCCTGTTTGAAAGCATATGTATTGGCCATGTTGTGATCAAATATTATGGCTAAAACCTAAAGTTAATCTGTAGGATTTGAGGGTTTACACGGTTTGGCGTTCAGAAGTTGCACATTACAAAGCTCATCAAATGTCTTATCGTAAAACGGGTACTGAATGGGAAATTTTGGGTGATTTAGCAGCAAGACTTCGCTACAAGGTAATAAATAGATACTGCAATATTCATTTTGATAAGATTTGTATCTGCAAACATAAATACTTGACGCTATCCAACAATTACAACAATTAGGGAGACGCCAAGGAGGCCTACACACGTTGTCTTGATAATAAATTTTCAGCCAAAGCCTGGCTAAGACTGTTAGAATTTTATGCAGAGGAAGGAGATGTACCGCATGCTTTAGGTGCTGTAGTAAAATTGACTGTATACTATGAACGATGGTATCACGAAATAATTGTAAGTTTAAAGAAATCCGCATTATTTTATTATAAATGATTTGACCTAAAATTAACAATGATAATTTTTAAGTATCCAACCGCTATTGCATATAATCTCAACAAACTGATTCGGAGCGAGGGACTTTCTAAAATACATTACAACCTCATCTCCATGAATTTACCACCACCTGTAGCCAAATTGGTTACGAGATACCTTATTTTTGCCGAAACTTTTAAAATTCCCGGATCAGATTTCTAATCCCTTCGTTCTCACAAAAATCATAGATGGTGTTGAAATTTTCAAATGCTAATAAGATCAAATTGCCTGCAATAGAACGTATGACTATTTTTAAGAGTAATTTTCTTGAATCTGAATACATGTTTTTTATGATCATAATTTATATTTTATGTATTTTTTGGAGTGAAGTATGGTTGTTTTTTTAAATTTATACATTTTTTTCATATAGTGTCATTAATCATAGAGAAATAAATGGTTATTCTCATATTAATTGTCGTAGACACATAAATATTTTTAAAAGTTTTAGTATTATTAATAAAGAAAAAATAAGTGTTCAATCTTGGTAAAGTTGAATTGTTAAAATGATTTAAAAACAACGTATCAAAAAATCATTATAAATGATATATGAGGTTGAGTTAATAAAAACTAAGCAAATATTTTTTTAAAACCTTAAACAAAATAACTTAAATAATTAAAATTTAATGAAACTTCTTTTAAATTAATTTTACGAGTTTATAAATTTTATTTAAAAAAATTTTTAAGTCCTTGCTAAGTTATTCTTGTTCAAAGTTGTAAAAAAACTTTATTATAAAAAATTTGGTTAATTTTTATTTACTTATCTTTATACGTGTAAAAGAAATTATTTTTTATTATCTGGTGTTAAGGTGAGGTCATGTTCTCGATTTTTTATTAGTGCATATTGTACAATTTTTTTTTTTTTAAAAGTGAGGTCTTGCCTCGATTTCTTTATTGATTATTAATATCTAAATACATTTTTATCTGTAGTACATATTATTTAATCTTTGAAAACTAAGGCTTAGGCTACTTTACCTATGACCCAGACTTTGCTAAAGAGGATCAAAGTCCCCACTTAGTCTATGATTGTATTGATATAATTTGGTAAGTATTGTGATTTATAAACATTTTTCTTCATATCTCTAGTTTAGTTTTTATTTTCGATTCAGTTAATCCTATATTATGAGTATCTGCTATTGCTGTTGAGACTGTCGGTATATTTCCGGTATTATCTTTTTCTGTGAGGTAATTGATTTTAATGAGTTGTTATGTTGTTCTTTGCATCATGTTATCCATATTTCTTTATATATTTTTTGCACGACTTTATGCATTAAGTAGATTGATAAACTGTGTTTCGGTTTTGGTATTTTTGTTATTTTGTTAATCAGTCTTGTACTGTTTTGGGAAAGCATTCCTAGTTTAACTCTTGTTAGTTGTGTTTGTAAGTCAGTTAGACAAATACTTTGGGTTATTAGGGTTGTAACTTGATGTCTAGTTTTGATATCTGTAACTTTATATTTGGTTAGAGTTTTGTTGACTGTTTCTGTTATTATTTCCTGTAAGCTTGTGCTATTACTATTGCAGGTTATCAAATGGTAGTTGCTTTCTGTTGTTTCTTGGCATCTTGTGCATGTTGGATTAGGGTACTTTATGTTGTTGCATTTGTGTAGTACTTCTAATGTTGGCAGCTCTTCTAGTAGTAATTTTAGTTTAAATGCTTTTAGTTGTGAGTATTT